TAATCATCCATTTTTGCTACTGTTTTCGCCGCAAGATTCGATAGTACTGATTCGCCAGTAGCGTTTCATCAGGGCACGAATAGCCCGTATGGAAGCCTGCTTCATTTTGGCGGATCTTATATCAGCTCTCTTCCTCAACCTGTCCAGAGTAATTCAGAAGAACTGTTTCTCAGAAGTAAAATAATGTCTGTTGGCGTGATATAATCTTCTATTCTTATGTTTCGGTTTTTGACAGAAGAAACTGTCAGGTTGTTTGCAATATGACAGACGGTATGTTAAGCGAATAGCACGATTTTGAGGAATTATACATATTGCCATGCATTTAACCTGTCTCATTTTTTAATATTTTGCTTTATAGATATACAAAGGAACCATTGTCAGTTATGCAGTTCATGACTTGCAGAACGTATTGTTTTAATAAGGTAACTATTTGTTCGATTCTTTATGTTTTAGTGAATTTAAATCCCTTTAGCTTGTTTGCATTGATGGAATCTGACTTGCATCTGTGATGGCAAGGGAAGAAAGTTTTTTCGACTATTCGGGGGAGTGTGAAATTTGTTCACATTTACCTCTACCACTCAACGTTTTGATGCATATCATCAGCTATATACCAGCTGAAGAATGGCCTCGATTAGAAACCGTTTCTCGGCAATTTCGTTACGCTGTCGTGTCGTTGTGGTGGCAGTTGACGGATTTCGATATCTCCAAGTTCTTCCATGGTATTCCCAAATTTCGGCCCAACCGTGCTGTGCAGCTTATGCAGACTTTAAGTGACCGAAACAAACGTGTTACTACGTTGCGCAACTTCAGGATCATCGCGCGTTGTATTAATCCAGCGACCTTTAAGCAAATATCGGCATTCACAAATCTCTCTACAGTAAGCTTTGCTGGATGCAGTGTGAATTTATCTGCCCTTAGTCAATTTCTGAAGGCGAATACTCAGTTAAAAGTACTCGATCTCAGGTGTTCCTTGTCGGTGGAGGATCGAAAGCTGCGTTCTCAAGAGCAGTTGCTTCAATACCAGCGAAAAAATGATGCTCTGCTCAAAAGTGGATTTTCTGCTCTTGATGGTCTTGAAGCGCTCGATCTCAGCCGTTGTGACAAGCTTTGCGGTGATTTATTGACCGCAGTTGCTACTCATCGACTGAAAGAAGTTGCCATAGGCGGATTTAGTTTTTCTGTTGATTCGCTTTTCTGCTTTCTGAAAAGATGCTCATTGCTGGAGATTCTTGATCTGTCTCACTGTGGTCGGATGCTGCCGATCGAATCGGTCGATGATATCGAAGCTTCAGCGCACACTTTCACAAATCTTAGAAGTTTCATATTGGGCGGCTGTGCTTCCAATAATTTATTTTTCGTGAAACAGTACTTGAATTGCGTTTTGTCCAGGTCCAATAACCTCACCGAACTGCATTTACAAGGTTGTCCTGCTGTGTCGAACAATGTGTTCCAGAAGATTATCAAGTGCTGCCGCAAGTTGAGGTGTCTTCGACTTTGCGTTCGTGGTCTTTTGCCTCAGACTGTTTTGTTGATCCAAGGACTGCCAGACTTAAGGATACTTGTGCTGGACGGTTGTCATTCGATTGACTTTTTCGATGTTAACACTGAGGTCATCAGTGCCATATGTAAAATGCAAACTTTGGAGTATCTTAACGTTGGACTTCCTATGGAGTACCCTAAGCTTTCGAGTTCTCTTCTTCACGCTTCTCACCTGAAAGGTCTGTGCATTTCCGGGGCCTGTCTTTCGAACGCGTCTGTGGCTGAGGCCGTTCCTTTGCCGGAACTTAGCTTAGTTTTTCTAGAATTGCCTTTCTGCAATCGGCTTTCAGATTACGGCTTGGTTTTGCTATTACCGTCGTGTCCTCGCTTGAAATATATCGATCTTTCAGGAACTGGCATCAGTAACACGGGATTGAACAAGATTCCATTTTTTTGCAAAGGTTTGCGTGAAATTAAAATTGCTGGCTGTAAAAAATTGACTTGTGCTGGCATTGCAATATTCAAAAGAAAAATGCCGGCAGTCAAGGTAATTGAAGACCGCAGCGGCCAATTTTCAGGCCGTATCCAATGTTCAACATATGCCTTGCTATCTCGTCGATTACCAAATGCCGTCTTTTGATGAAATGGCGTCTCTTATCTCTCACTGAACTCATTCCTCCCAATGTGCGTTGATCGTCATTAATGTGTGAAAGGAAATGCGAAGGTGCAAGGATTTTCGTAGCTGTTGAAAGTCGTTTTGATTAAGGAAGCCGGTGGTTACCATTTGTCAGTGACTCAGTTTTTGTGATCTATTAGTTCTTTACAAACTGTTGTCACTTTGTTGTTAACAGCATCGTTACACGGAAAGACCATGAAATGCGATTCACCTCAACTGGAGAGAAAATTCTAATCTTGAAATGGTACATCTCTTTGTGTTACAAAAACGTATTTATATAATGTCGGATGAACGTACTACCGCCATCTTTGTTAATACACGAGAAAAGAGACCACGTGAAGAATTATGGACAGCAAAAAACGTTTCGCGACATCAACGATCGACATTGGGGCACTGCAGCCTAGAAACCTGGCTGAATACCCTAAATCATAGGGGGTACGGTAGGTGTCCTACATTTTTATCTTTGTATTCACTATAATACATGTTCAGCTACTTTAGCTATTGGCCACGTTTGGGATAAAGACGTGAGCTTAAGTGCGTATCTAGGTATGGGAACAGGATCCTGTTTAAATACGTGACTATCGCAGAACCTTAAAAACAAAATGAAGCCAAACGCAAGTGATTGATTACACTATATGGATTTCAGTTCTGTTCAGAAGTTTAAAATCTTGAGGTGTGGCAACTGTTGCTGTTCTAGAGTTTCGACTAATACACACAGATGCGCTACCAGATTTTGGCTTTAAAGCACTTTGAAGCCATTGAAAATCAGCAATTTCTTAAGTTTGCCACACGTTTTGTTTCTTTTCCCAACGCAAGATCAGTCCGAACATGCAACGGTTGTTATGCTCTTATGTTATAACCCATTCCATGTGTTGTTTATCTGTGAATTCACCACAGAATCCAACTGATACACAATCGTAACAACATTATGTAACACTAAGGAATGCATGGAATTAGTCGCTACCGCTCTAGATTAATGATAATAATAATAATAAATGAAAGTCTAATGGCATCATTAGTTGAAATGAGCGGAGTCATCAAATACTAATGTTGCAAAATCCAGAAATATGCTCTCAGTTACAAGCTGGATCACGAACTGCTGTTGTGCGGTTGCTTCGCGTCATTCTCGAACCGAAAATACGAAATGAACTTGATGGCAGTTCATTTCGTGGTTTAAAATAATGATTTAAAAATAGCTGCATTATCTGAGTGCTATAAAACACGACTGCCCATTAGATGATGTAAACGTTGCCGATTCCAAGCCTGCGTTAGAAAGTAGGTTCAGTGTTTAGTTAGGCGAGATCTCCTATAAAACAGCCACCTACCCCTCATTGTATTGTCATTGAAGACTAAATCTACTCGGTCGTCGTCCGGGTTACTGTGTAAAACCAGCGATCACAACCTGTGTCCCCTCTATCAGCTGGGCGCGAAACAACACGGTTAATGATTAGTTATTCCAAGTAGACTTACTGAGTGACTCCTGCATCGTAATCACCGATGATCACTGTCGTTAGTTGGATGAATTCGCTAACCATAATCGTCGTCCTGTTTGCACCTGAAATCCAAGTTGCTTGTTCCTTGACTGTAGGGCAAATAGCATGCTTTGCATTTTTTGTGTTCGTCCCCATTAGCATATAGTGAGCAAATCGAAGATGCATGAGCTCTCTGCATTTGTCCTAAAGTCATCCATACTATTTCATTTTGCGATAAATGGAAATTCAAAACATGCGTTAAATAGCGTGGGAGAGATGGCGCCTTTTTGATGAACTTCATTAGTGACCTTCATTTAATACCCGAATCATCTCAAAAGCCCATTCCCATTGCCGGTACCTGGATCGAGGTTTTTGATTCATGGACCACGACTCATGACCGTAGCAATAGTCACACGGTTCAAGCTGCTTCACCCAGACCTCCGCTGGTCATTGTAATTGGCTGGTTAATCTCTTTCGCCAATTTTTCAACACATCCCCAAGTGAACTTCACCGCTTCTTCATTTATTTAGAGAAAGCATTAGCAGATACGTTCATACAATACCGACCGGCCGCCTATGCCGCACTCGGTTACGAAGACGCCAACAAAACAAGGTTGTGGGTTGTCCGAAAACGGCAACCTTCTCGTCTTCACTTCTCCTATATCGATGCACTCATCGCTCTGGCTGCGCCTGACTATTCTTTCCATGTACAACACAAACAGGGGAAGGAACAGAACACAACCCTCCCAGACGCAAGTGCCAACGCTGAAAAGTTTTGTCTTAACGCTGTTTACTCCAACATAGCGCCTGCTATCAGCATGTAGTGATTGGATGGGTTGTGGCAACTAACCATCGATCCTATATGTTGGCAGGCATGCCCATGAACTGTGCGGATCCGATTATAGTATTTCTGCATGTCAAAAAGTCACTTGTAAACCAAATAATCGAAATACCACGAATTCTCAACAGCCTGGCGAAGGTCTGCTCTGAAGCCACGCTGCTCTTCTTGGATCTTAGAGTAAATTATTCTGCGGCAACGACTTTTCAACATTTGCGTAAATTTTATCCGGAAGGCTCAATGAGGTAATGCTCCAATAATTAGAGCACTCCATATGGTCTCTTTAAACATGGATACTACCACCTCCGTCTCTTCCTTCCACAGGTGTCTTCCCTGTAAGCGCTGCAATTTGACATACAAGTGTTAGCACCAACCTGCCTTATTTATTTAAGGCATTAAGAATTAATATTACGCAGGTAATATTTTGTATTTAACATATGCAAAGTTTATCCAGCATACATAAGGTTTATGGTATATACGATATTTAGTGCTGTATAGTATAGGCTATAAATAATATTCACAGTATTTGCCATATCTTACCCAGCATATGTAGTGTATGGTATATACTGTATGCTACATACGTCTAATGATTATGCTCCTTCTGTGTAATGTATAACGTGATGTGCGTTATGACTTTTTTGTTTCATTTTTTAGAGTTTAAACCTTGTGCTGGTTTATGGGAAGCTGTTATGTGTTCTATAATGTATATTATGTATATGCCATGCGTGAAGTTTACGTTTGTGGTATATACTCTATTCATAAAGCTGCAAAAATATCCTTGGTCCACCATTGTGATATACGCAATTCTCAAACTCACGCATATTGCACTAAATGTTATGTATTATATGCAGCTATTATCCTAGACGTGGCGATGCGAAACACACTTTCTGTGTTTTCGAAATAATAAATACGACATATATGCACTGAAACGATTTATATAACGTGCATAAATTATGCACGTGGAAACCGAGTGGCAGCTCGAAGAGAGGCATACTCGAGGCTGCCGCCGAATGCTGCGGATATAAACGGGTTGGCCTGCCGCCTGGAGATCAGAAAA